AACTATACATAATCCATAGGAAACACTCCTTCTATTCAAAGACACAAATTACTTCAAAGTAAAAGAATATGAAAAGATATACCATACAAACATTATCCAAGAGACAGAAGCAATGGCTATTTTAAGAAACAAAATAGACTTTAAGATAAAACATACTGCTAGAGTGAAAAAGAGACATTTCATAATAAGAAAGTCAAAATATGAGTATGATAGCAGTTAAGAATGCATATTCACTAACTACACAGATTCCAAATATATGCAGCAAAAACTGACAGAATTTAAAGAAGGAAAAGAAAAATATAACAATTATACTTGAAGATTTCAGTATCTTATTTTCAGTAATTAATAGTATACCCAGGGAAATATCCACAAGAATACAGAATACTTAAACAACACTGTCAAAACTAACTTGCTGTGTATACAATATTCCATCCAAATACTATGGAATACATTTTCCTTTGCATAGACAATTCTCTAGGATAAACCACATGATAAGCCTGGAGTAAAAAACTGCAGTATATTGGCTAAATCCAGCCTGCCACAATTTTGTGGGGGATAGGGGGAGAGGAATAAATAAAGTTTTATTGGAATACAACCCACAATTATGCATTTACCTAATGCTGGGGGAAGCTTTCACACTACAACAGTGGAGTTGGATGCTGCAGTACACACCATGTGACTTGCAAACCAAATATATATATAATGGGGTTTTATTAAAAAAAAAAACAAAAAAAACTATAACCCCTCTGGTAGGCCATCAAAAAGTCCTAACAAATTTAAAAGGATGAAAATCATACAACATATTTTATCTAATTACAACAGAGTTAAATCAGAAATGAATAACAGAAAAAAAATCTTAAAAATCTCCAAGTATTTGAAAACGGAACAACACTTCTAAGTAAACTAAGGGTCAAAGAAGTAATCACAAGAGAAACTGAAAGATACTTCAAGAGAATGAAAAATTTTGTAATAGAAGGAAAAAGCTGAAGGAATAACACTTACTGTTTTCAAAACTTAACAGAAAACAACCATAATCAACATGATATTATTGGGCAAGAAAATAGGCATACATATCAATGGATAATAATTGAGAGTCCAAAAATAAATCACATAATAAATAATACAATAAAGGTGCTATGACAATTCAGTGGGATAAAAGATCATCTTTTCAAGGAAGAGTGCTGAAGTAATTGGATATTAACATACATAAAAGTGAATTTATATCCTTTTCTCATATTATACACAAAATTTAGCTTTAAATAGATCAAATATTTAAATATAAGAGCTAAAATCCTGCAATTTTTAGGAAAAAAAAATAGAAGAAAATCTCTAGGACTTCACTTGAACAAATAGTTCTTAGATGAGACACCAAAAGCACAAACCATATAAAAATAAATTGATAAACTGAATGTAATCAATATTTAAAATGTTTGCACTTCCAAAGACAATGGAAAATGGAAAGACATTAACAAAATGGAAAGACAGCCATAGACTGGAAATACATATGTGCAAATCATTTATCCAGCAAGGGACTTCTATTCAGAATATAGGAATATCTGCTACATAAAAAGAACTATTACAATTCAAAAATAATAGATAAAAAACAATTAAAAAATAAAGGATCCTTACAAAAATTAACATACTCTTACCATCCCATCCAGCAATCACATTCCTTGGTATTTACCCAAAGGAGCTGAAAATATGTTCACACAAAAAACTGCACACAGATCCTTAAGCAGCTTTTTTCAAAACTGTGAAAACTTGGAAGCAACCAAGATGTGGTTCAGCAGATGAGTGGATAAATAAGCTGTAGTACATCCAGATAGTGGAATATGACTCAGGATTGAAATGAAATGAGCTATCAAGCCACGAGAAGACATGGGAGAAACTTAATGCAAAAAGTCAATCTGAAAAGACTACATACTATATGATTCCAACTATATGGCACTGTGGAAAAGGTAAAACTATGGAGATAGTAAAACGATGAGTGGTTACCAGGGGTTAGGCAAGAGAGATGAATAGGCGGAACACAGAAAATTTTTAGGGCCAAGAAACAATTCTGTCTGATACTATAATAGTGGTTTCTTATTAGATATTTGTCCAAACCCATAAAATGTCCCATACCAAGAGTGACCCCTATGTTAACTGGATTGGGGTGGTGATGTGCTGTCAATGTAGGCTGATCAGTTTTACTAAATGTATCACTCTGGTGCTGTATGTTGATAATAGGGGAGGATATGCATTTGAGAAGGCAAGGAGGGAGTTTAAAAAATCTCTGTACCTTCCTCTCAATTTTGCAGTGAATCTAAAACTATTCTAAAGTATAAAGCCATTTTTTAAAAAATGGAGGATGGAGGAGATATTGGAATAGATATTTCACTAAAGAATTAATACAAATAACTATTAGGCACATGAAAAGATTCTAACAGCATTAGTCCTTAGGAAAATGTGAATTAAAACCCAACTTCACTAGGATGCCTATAATCACAAAAGACAGACAGTAGTGACAAGTGTGTGGAATAAAGAAGACTCATCATTGTTGCTGGGAACATATACTGATAAGGCCAATGTGGGAAATCACTCTGCAGCTTCTTAAAGTGTCAAATACAACTTACTATTCAACCTAGCAACTTGACTCAGAAAAATTAAAAAAAATTAAAACAGGTCTATACCTACAAACACATTTATATGACTGCTCACAACATGTTATTCATAATAGCAAAACACTGGAAACAACCCAACTGCTCATCAAACGGTGAATGGATAGACAGAAGAGGTATAGCTATAAAATGGGACACTGTTCAAAATGAAAAGGAGCACGGTATTGACACAAAACGCAATGGATAGACTTTAAAAGTGTTACAGTAAATTAAAAAAAAAGAGTCAGAGGCAGCAGACTACTGATTATATGATTCAGTTAATGAAATATCCATATAAAGCAAATTTACATAGACAGAAAGCCATCGATGTTTTCCTAGGTGGAGGTTTTGAATGCTTTTTTTTTTTGAGACGCAGTCTCACTCTGTCACCCAGGCTGGAGTGCAGTGGCACAATCTCGGCTCACTGCAACCTCCACCTCCCAGGTTCATGCCATTCTCCTGCCTCAGCCTCCTGAGTAGCTGGGACTACAGGCGCCCGCCACCACGCCCGGCTAATTTTTTGTATTTTTAGTAGAGGCAGGTTTCACCGTGTTAGCCAGGATGGTCTTGATCTCCTGACCTCGAGATCCGCCCGCCTCAGCCTCCCAAAGTGCTGGGATTACAGGTGTGAACTACCCTGCCTGGCCTTGAATACTAATTTAACTGAAAATAAGCATGAGAAAATTTGGGGGCAGGTGCCAGAAATGTTCTAAGACTTATTTATGGTACCATTTGCAGAAGTCTATAAATTTACAAAAGAATCATAGAATTCCATACTTACAGTGGTTAAGTTATATGAAATGTAAATTACACTTCAGAAAATGATATTTAAAAAAACAACAGTGTAAAGTTTAGTCTGGCAGTGAAAATTGGGGAATGTTAAGCAATATAGACAAACCTATCAGTGAATGATTTTTTTAAAAAAAGAAAGAGCCCAAAAATAGAAAATTGAAAAGAAAAGTCTACTTTGACATGAAGCAATGTGAGAAATGTGTGAATGGCTGATTTATTCACAATACATTGGCTTTGCAGCCACTAATACTTGTTACAGGAAATGGCTGTAAGATTTATGTATAATAGGATTATGCATGCTGAGTTATAGCATTTAATAGTATTTTTACATAAACTAATAATGCTGCAGTAATCAGCAAAGTCTTCTGAGGTCCTCTCAGAAATCTCACATTTCAAATGATAGGGCTAGCTTTATATCACTTCTGGTAACAAGAGCTGGGGTACTCAAGCATAGACTGAAAGATTTAGACTGTTGGGAAGCATGTTTCCATGGGTCCCTTGTGTTCCTACATGTCTTGCCACGAATTACAAGAATATAAGGCCCTAACTGCCTTTTACCTGGGCCATTTCTCAAAGTTGTGCTTGCAGCAAACAACCATTGAAGAAGCGACACCTCCTCCCAAACCAAGAGCTGGCTTCCTTATTAGATGTTATAAGGTGGTAATTTCACTAGATTTGGCATTCCTCTCCTATGTGTGCAGGCATCCATTAGTCCAGTAGAAACTGGGGTTTAGGGAACCAATGAGAAACCATGCTGACACTCTGGCTACTGTTTTTGCTGTGAGCAGTAAAGTATTTCATCTCCGACCCAGAAGTCTCATTTCTTGTGTCAACATCCATAAAACTGTATCAAGCTAAATTTGCCAGCTTGCAAAAGGGCAAAATGTCAGATCTTTGGCAACTCTTGACATCTGGACAGTATATTTTACTTAAGCATAAAGACAAAACAAGTCTAAACGTTAAAGACTGGTCTTTATTACGTCATTAGAATTTGTATTAGTTAAATTACATTGCTCACTTCCCATAAGTAGGTTTTATAAAATCTGTATTTGTAATTCTGTGTGGCCTAGAACAGTGTATTAGAAAATTAAAAAGAAGTCAATGGTTTTGAAATCTAATTACAAACTTAATTCTGTGATAAAGAAAATGTTAAACCAGATTCAGTAACCTGTTTAGTATTTTAGTTCAGCTAATTCTACCTGCTGAAATAAGAGGCCTTGGATGGAAAGGATCTGAAAGATCCTTCAGGAAGACCTGAAAACAGTAGTCTAGCACTCATCCTTGAACAGTAGCAATGGGTGAGGCAAGAATATCATCTTTGGACACAGAATATTAGGTTCAAATTCTAGCTCTGCCACCTGTTTGCTATGTAAACTTGGTTATATAACGTAATCCCTCATGGTTTCAGTCTCAATTTATACAATAAGGGCTAACAACAATATCACCATTACTGTGCTGTAAAGATTAAGAAATGTCTATGTTAGCACTGTGCAGGGGCCTAAATGCACTTCTTAACCTTTGTTAGTCAGTCTTACTCAGGAAAGGGCTACAGGAGAAACTGGAGCTCACCTGTGGGAGGTCAGCACTGCAGCACAGCCTTCCCGAACCTCCTTCATTATTGTTTGCCATAGGTACCGCTTAGAGCAGGGATCCATCCCAGAGCTGGGTTCATCCTGAAGGAAAGGCAATACAGAGTAATCAGCATTTGAAAAACACAAATAGAAATATACACAACGACATGGGAGGCCAGACCCCAGGTGAAAGAAAAATCTCTGCTCTGGCTCTAACAGACACCTCTCCAATTGGTTTTGTTACACTCTGCTCAACAAAGCCAGAATGATAGGGGAACGTGAGAGAGCAATGAGTGAGTGCCTGACTCCTCCAGCCACACAGCATGCTACCCAAGAGTCCCACTTCTTTCTCACCTCATCCAGAGAAATTCAAAAAAGAGATTAAAAATATATATATATAAAAGAACCAAATAGAAATACTGGAGCAGAAATATAAAAAGAAATAAAAAATATAATACAGAATGCCAAAAGCACATTTGATCAAGCAGATTAAAAACAAATCTGTGAAATTGAAGGCAGATTATTTGAAATTATCCAGCCAAGGAAAATTAAAAAAAAAAAAAAAAAAAAAAGAATTAAGAAGAACAAAGAAAGCCTAACAGGTTTATGGCACATTATCTAGAGACCTAACTTTTACAATATGAGATTTACAAAATAAAAAAAGGTGAGAAAAAGGGGCAGCCGAATGCTTATTAAATAAATAGTGGCTGAAACATTCCCAAATTTGGATAAAGAGAAAGACATTTGAACACTGAGATATATGAAGCTTAAAAGTTCCCAAATAGCTTCAACCCAACAAATTCTTCACTGAGATACACAATAATCAAACTGTCAAAAATGAAAAGCAGAATTTTCACAGCAACAAGAGGAAAAAAAAAAAGGTTCATTACATACATGAACAAGGTTATCAGTGGATTTTTCAGAAGAAATCTTCAGGACGGGGAAAGAGTGGGCCAATGAAAGAAAAAAAACCTACCAAATCAAAAATACTTTGCCTACTTTACCCAGCAAAGCTGCTCCTCAGAAATAAAAAAAAGAAAAAGAATTTCCCAAACAAAAGCTGAAAGAGTTCATTTACACAATACCCGTCTTAAAAGAAAAATGCTAATGGGGGTTCTTCAAAACAAAATAAAAGGATTCTAATTAGCAACATGAAATTATAAAACTCACAGTAAAGTTAAGTATATAGCCAAATTCAGCATACTTTAATGCTTTAATGTTGGTGTGTAAATCACTTATAACTGTAATATTCAGATTAAAAGACAAAAAAGTATTAAAGTAACTATAGCTACAATAATTTTTAATGGAAGCACAATATAAAGAGCTGCAAATTGTGACATCTAAAACATAAAATGAGATGGTTGGAAGTAAAAGTGTAGTTTTTTTTAATGTGACATAAGTTCAGTTACTATCAGGTTAAAAATAGACTTTTGTAACTATAAGATGTTTTATATAGATAATTAGTAACCACAAATAAAAAATCTACAGTGGATGCACACACACACACTCACACACACACACACATAAGAAAAAAAAAAAAACAGAGAAATGAATCAAAGCATACCAACATACCAACACACAAAAAAGTTATCAAATTAAAAGAAAAACAGTAATAAAGGAAAAAAAGAATAAATAGCTTTAAAAATAGCCAGAAAACAATTAACAAAATGTCAAGAATATGTTCTTACCTATTAATAATTACATTAACTGTAAATAGACAGCATTTGCCAATCAAAAGGCATAAAGTGAATGAAAGGATAAAAACCAAGATCCAACCTTATGCTATTTGCAAGAGACTTAGTACAGTTTTTTAGATACACATAGACTGAGTGTGAAACAATAGGTAAAGATACTCCAAGCAAATGATGACCCAGAGGGCATGTTTATCTATATTTATGTCAAACAAAATATGCTTTAAGTCAAAAACTGTAAAAAGAGAAAAATACAATAATAAAATGGTCAATTTATTATAAAATGATAAAAGAGTAATTGTAAATAGATATGCACTGAATATTAGAGTAGCTATATATGTAATGCAAATATTAACAGAACTGAAAGGAGTAAAAGACATAACTACAATAATAATAGGGAGTTCAAGGCTCCACTTTCAATGATACATTGATTAACCAGACAGTAAATCAATAAGGAAACAACGTACTTGAACTACGCTTTAGACCAAATGAACCTAACAGCCATACACAGAACATTCCATCCAATGACAGCAGAATACACATTCTTCTCCAGCACACATAAAATACTCTCCAGGAGAGACCATATATTAGGCCACGAAACAAGTCTACACAATTTTTAAAAATTGAAATCATATCCAGTATCATTTCAGACCAACATGGTATGACACTAGAAATTAATAAGGAGGAAAACTGAGAAATTCACAAATACATGCAAATTAACAATATGTTCCTGAACAACCAATGGGCCAAAAGTGAAATTAAAAAGAAAATTTTAAAAAATACATGTATCTTGAGACAAATGAAAATGGAAACAAAACAAAACTTATGGGATGAGGTAAAAGCAGGTTTCAGGAAGAAGTCATCAACATTAAGAAAAAAGAAAGATTTCAAATAAATATCCTACCTTTGCAATTGAAGAAATTGGATAAAGAAATGAACTAAGCCCAAAGTTAGCAGAAGTAAGAAAAGAATAAAAGGCCATACATCATAAGCCCACAACTAACATCATATTCAACAGTGTAAAGCTAAAAACTTCGAATCTAAGAAGAACAAGACAAGGATGCCCACTCTAGCCACTTTTACTCAACATAATACCAGAAGTCCTACCAGAGTAATTAGTCAAGACAAAGAACAGGCATCCAAATCAAAAAGGAATAAGTAAAATCATCTTTCCAAAAGCATGATCTAATATACAGAAAACACTACAGACACCATCAAAAAATCCATTAGAATTAATAAACAAATTCAATAAAGTCATATAATACAAAATCAACATACAAATATCAATTTTGCTTCCATAAAATAGCAGTGGGTTATCAGAAAAGGAAATTTTAGACAATTTCATTTACAGTAAGATCAAAATGAACAAAATACTTAGGAATAATTTTAACAAAGGCAGTGAAAGATCTGTATACTGAAATCTATAACATTTTGATTAAAGAAATTGAAGACAAATAAATGGAGAGCTATCTATGTACATGGATTGAAAGAATTAATATTTTTAAATGTCCATATTACCCAAAGTGATCTACAGACTCAGTGCTATTCCTACAATTCCATTGTCATTTTTTCACAGAAATAGAAAACCAGAATACCGAAATTTATTTAAAGAAAAAAAAAACAACAACAAAAGACCACAAATAGCTAAAGAAATTAAGCAAGAAGAACAGTGCTGGAGGCCTCACATTTCCTATTTTCAAACTATACTACTATGCTATCGTAATTTAAAAAGTATGGTACTTGTATAAAAACAGAAATATAGATTCATAGAAAAGAATAGACAGTACAGAAATAAACCCAAACATATATAGTCAATCTTTGACAAATACACCAAAATTAAAACTAGGAAAAGCACGACTGTGCTTTCTTCAATATATGGCTTTGGGAAAACTGAGTATCTACACACAAAAAATTAAAACTGGGTTCTTATCTTGCACCATACACAAAAATCAACTGAGCATGTATTAAAGATTTAAACATAAGATCAGAAACCAAGAAACTTGTAGGAAAAAAAAAGAAAAAAGAAAAGAAAAGCTCCTTGACATTGGTCTTGGCGATGTTTTGTTTGTTTTTTGGATATGACACCAAAGGCAGAGAAAACAGAAGCAAACACAGAGTGGTACTATTTCAAATGAAAAGAGTTTCTGCACAAGAAAGGAAAATACCAACAAAGCAGGCAAACTACAGAGGGGGATAAAATGTTTGCAGCCATGTATCCAATAAGGGGTTACATCCTATATATGGAATTCATAAAGCTAAATAGCAAAATAATAATAATTAAAAATAGACAAAAAACTTGAACAGACTTTTCTCAAAAGAAGACATGCAAATGGCCAATAGGTATATGAAAAGATGGTCAACATTATTAATAATCAGGGAAATGTAAATAAAAACGACAATGAGATATCACCTTGTACTCGCTAGAATAGCTATTGTTAAAAGGACAGAAGATAACCAGCAATGGCAAGGATTCGGAGAAAAGTGAGCCCTTATACACAATTGGCGGGAATGTAAATGTACACACATTGTGAAAAACAGTGTGGAGGTTCCTCTACAAATTAAAAATACTACTGCCACCTGATCCAGTAATCTCACATCTGTGTGTGTATCCAAAGGAAATAAAATCAATATCTGGAAGCGTATCTGCAAGTGCTATATTCATGACAACATTATTTACAAAAGTCAAGATACAGAAACAACCTAAGCATCCCTAAGTGTATAAATGGGAAAAGAAAATGTGTATGTCTCTCTCTCTCTCTCTCTCTCTCTCTCTCTCCCTGTTTCCTTGTCTCTCTCTCTCTCTCTCTCTCTCTCTTTTCTCTGGGTGTATATGTGTGTAATGAAATATTATTCTGCTTGAAAAATAAGGAAATCCTTCCATTTTCAACAACATAAGTGAATCTGGAGGACTTATGCCAAGCATAAAGTGAAATAAGCCATGCATGGAAAAACACTACTTCTTAATGAAATATTAAAAAGTTGAACACGTAGGAAGAGACAGTAGAAAGGTGCCAGGCTGTGGAAATGGGGAGATACTTGTCAAAGGGCAGAAAATTTCAGTTATACAGGACAAACAAGTTCTGGAGATCTAATATACAGCATATAGGGCTGCTATAGTTTGGATGTTTTGTCCTCTACAGAATTCATGTTAAAACTCAATTCCTAATAAAACAATATTGAGAAGTGTGACCACTGGGAGGTGAATGAGTTTATAAGGTTAAGTGACCTTATAAAAGCACCTGATGAAGGACCTTCACCTCTTTTTGCTCTTCTGACTTTTGCCTTATGAGGACATGTACTGCTCCCTTCTGGAGGGCACAGGGTTCAGGTAGTCATCTTGGAAGCAGGGTTGGCACCTTCAGCAGGCAACTGCACCTGGCAGTACCTTGATCTTGGACTTCCCAGACTCCAAAACTCAAATGTCTGTTCTCTGTTCTTCATAAATTATCCAGGCTGTTATAGCAGCACAGTGGACTAAGAGAGGGACTGTAGGTAATGATGCTGTATTACATATTTGAAATTTGTTAAGAGGGTAGATATGAAGTGTTCTCATCACACACAGGGAAAACAATGGCAATTATATGACATCATCAATATGTTAATTAGTTTGGTTGTAGTCATCACATCAGAATATTTATGTATATCAAAACACATGTTGAATTCATTAAATATATACAATTTTTATTAATTATACCTCCATAAAACTGGGAGGTGGGGAATTGGGCTATATTTTCATGCCAGGTTGGTTCTCCTTCATGATCTGGCTAGGTAAGCCAACCTTGATGTTTTTAAAATGAATTTTCAACCTCCATAAAATTTCAGAATGATATGCCCTAGGAAGACATATGATAGCAGAAAAAGGCTTCATTTATTTAGCAACATCAAATAAATTGATATTTCTTAGAACTTGAAGCTTTCTCCTTCAATAGACACCAAAGTATTTCTTATATGAACCACTTCTAGAGAAATCTTGCCAAACTGTAAGATGTATTTCTGTGCTTTTATTAGCCAGGGAGTACTAAACACATATTTCTTAAGAGCTTCGGGTCATAAACTTCCCCAAAGAAAGAAACAGATGGGAAGCAGTAGGGATGGGGGGAGAAGCACTGAACAGAAAAATAAATATCTAGTCTTTTCTGCAAATCAAGCAATATATGTGTACTAGTTATAAAAATAAGTAAATAAAAGGTGTGATCATGCAATGCTCAGCATGAGCGTTGGATGTGTAATTTACGTTTTCCTGATTCCCTCCTTGATGTCAGCTCTGAGAGTCACTTCTAGTCTCTCTGTTGAGAACTCCAAAGGACTGGCAACAAATCTCTTTAACCTATTGCTCTGAACAGTAACCATTATCATAGTCACAAATAGTTACTGTGGTTTACCATCTGCTGGACACTGGGCTAGATGCTTAATGTAGTTTATTTTATTTACTGCTTTCAATGACTCCATGAGACAGACATTATTATCAGGACAATTTTCAGATGAGAAGGAAGCAGGCATAGAACATACAAGGCCAAGTGCTGGGCGGCTGCAAAAGCAAAATTCAATGCTTGTCAGTCAGACTCCGGAGTCCCCACCTTGACCACTGTGCCACAGGTTTGGGCATCCATGGAAAGTTGAGAGCAAGGATGTATCAAAGAAAAGCATGTCATGGTCTGCAGTGAACCAGGTCATGGCTATAGAGCAGCGGCCCCTTCATCCAACTGAGGAGATGCATTGTAAGGGGCTGGGCATAGGGAAATTCCACAGAAAGTAATGAACGCCCACATATTGTTAACTACTCAACATAATCCCGCCTTGTGTTGAAAATAAAATGCAATTTGTGAACTTCAGGATTGTGCAAATGGTAGTTTTTATTATCAGATTCCGGAATATGAAACTATACAATGGTCCAGGAATTTGGACATTGCAAAAGCAAATTTATGGCACCTAAAAAGAATATTCAAGTGAGTTTCCAGGAAACAACCAGAAAATGATGAGACCATTTTCTAACACAGACTTTCTCAATTCCCATTTACTACCCCACTGAAAGGGTGTATTCATTTGATGAAGAAAGATAGAAAAAAAGGAATCTGTTTTGTTTTCCACACTTTTTGACACCCCTCAGACTCTCTACTGGTGTGAAGTCCAAAGATGCACTCTAGTGATTAGAATCCAATTTATGGCATGTAACAATAGCCTTTATTTATTCTTTCAATGGCATTACTTGTATTAACAATTATAGCTGTTTTATGAAATGTAAGACAATTAACTCCATTTCTTGACAAATGTTGCCTCCAATTAATGCTTTGTTTCATTCAAATCAAATTAACTGCAGTCCCCAGACTGATTACAGACTACCTTGTCTCAAGACCATTGCATATACTCTACCCTGTTGCTGGAGTTTTCTTCCTACCCTCAACATCATAGCCAGCCTTCACTCTCAACACCCATCTTCAAGACTCACCATGACAGGTGTCACTACTGCTGTGATAAACATACAGCTACACAGAGAAAAAGACATCAAAGCAATATTCTAGAGGAAAACATAATGGGTTTCAGATTACAGATGAATTCTAATAATCTTTTAAAACACTGTTTTAATGTTAAAATTTTATAGAATTTTCAGTTTGACGAATATGAGTGAATCTAGCAAAAGGTGTTTTATTTCTGCAAAATTCAAATGATGTTTGGGAAATGTTGGCTTATGGCAAAACAGTTTACTAGTTTGTAGAACCAGCTTTGCAAGTTCTAAAGTTACTTCCCAGAAAAACTCTTAAAATCAGTTTATAAATCAATATGTAATATGTGTCTTATTCCAAGACATTGACATTCCTCTACTCACCAATAAAAGAATGTCAGGTTTCCCCAGCAGGGCCAGGGCTGTAGAGAGTTTCCGCTTGGTTCCCCCACTGTAGGTGCCCACAGGTTTGTCCGCATGGGCTTCGAGGTGTAAGCGCCTGATGAGATCTCCAGCAACCTGGAAGAGAGGGATGTGCATGTGTACACAAGCATTCACCAAAGTGCCCACCAGAAACCTGGTCTCAGTCCTCACTCCTGCTTCTCCCTCCCACTAACCCTGCTCATCTTCACACATACAATCAAGTACATCTCCTGAAACATCCCCCTTCACCATACAGGCAGTAATTGAGAGTGAACAGGTGGGAGTTTTCTATGGCTGGAGACATCTAAGTGACGGTCAAAATAATCACATCTAGAGTTCAGGGAGCAGGGTGGGCAAGAAACACACTCGAGGTTGGAGGTCCAGATAAATACCCATGTTAAGGTGAGCAGAGACGGGAATGCCAAAAAGAAAACTGAGAAGGAAATAAATAGGAATGAAACTAATGGAAAGAGGTGTCAAAACTTAAAGGGAGAAGACAACCGAAGTAGAACACTTTCTTTATTATTTTAGATTCCGGGTGTCTATGTGCAGGTTTGTTACATGGGTATATTGTGTGATACTGAGGTTTGGGCTTCTAATGATCCATCACCCAAGTAGTGAGCATGGAACCCAACAGGTAGTTCTTCACCCCTTGTCTCATGTCCTCCCTCCACACTTTAGGATTTCCACGTGTCTACTGCTGCCATGTTTGTGTCCATGTGTACCCAATGTTAAGCTCTCCCCTATAAATAAGCGCACATGTATTTGGTTTTGTGTTCCGCTGTTAATTTGCTTAGGATGATGCCTCCAGCTGCATCCACGCTGCTGCAAAGGATGTGATTTTGTTCGTTTTTATGGCTGGAGGGAATTTTCAATATTAACACAAGGAAAGAAATAACCCTTTCACATTGAGAAGCCACTGTTAATGTTTGCAAACTCAGAGTTTGGTTTACAAAGTAACTAGAGGTGGGGAGGGGAATGGGAAATGTTTCTTATTTGCAACTGCTGAAAACCACTTTGCCAAGTCCCAAGGATGGTGGCAGCATTAGTCAAACCTCACCCCCCCACCAGCCACAGGAGAGTTCAGACCGTACCCAAAAGCCTGGGGTTCACAGCTTCTTTATTCTTCCCTGCTTTCCACCCTGCCAGCTTGTCCCACATCCTAGAAGGCCCAGCCCATATCTCTCATCAGAAAAAATAATTGTCACTTCTTCTGTGTGTTGTATGTGTCACCCCTTCTGTGTATTATGTGTCTATAGAATGCTTTTATTTAGCATTTCCCACTGTAATTTGTACCACACTACATTTTCTGTTTCTAGTCTGTCTCCTATGCTGGATTAATTCTTCTTGGGGTCCAAGGTAAGTAACTTTTTCGTTTCGAACTTAGCATAATTTAAAAATGTTGCAAACAATTTTATTTAACTCTTATGACCATAGAAGTATTAATATAGATTCATTTTTTAGATATCATCATTTAGCCAAATTGACCAAGATCATATTTTAATTCAAATTTAGGAGAAGAGGGAAACTTCCTTAGGACTAAAAAGATGGGTTAATAATTGTGCATCCCAAATAACTAAATAAATATAAACTAATGTGTATACTCTTTTTGACAAGTGCATAAAAGTTAGGATAATAACAGGATAATGAAGGATAATGAAGCATTAAGAACCTCTACAAATATTAGCGTAATCATTACATCCCCCAATAAAATCTTTCAACAGAAATTGTTATACGGCTTCACTTGTACAACTTCAAAATATATTGCAGATGAATGAAGAGGGTCAAGGACTGGTCTTATGGTGAAATAGTATAATTCTAGGAAATGCAGATTTCCAGGCCCCAAAGATACATAAAGATGAAATATTTAATCTCCTCCTATCTGCCTAAGAAAATCTTATCAAGGCCAGTAGTTGGTCTTATTGAAAGTAAAGTCATTTTCCCCAGAATGTTTTATATGAATCATCCTTTTTCCTGGCTCCATTCAGACCAATTATTTCAATTATCACCAGTTGAACAAAAATTCACTTAAGTGAATTCTAAAATATCAAGACAAAACATTTTATTCCTCACAAGCAAACACACACAAATATTAAGAGAAGGGTCATATAAATGAAGAAATATAAATGCCTGGCATTTCAGGAATTACAGAGATAACAGAAGTAGTAATGTAGCTTCATCCAAATTTTTCTCCGAGAAGAATGGCCAAGAAGCGTAAATCAGTGCTAGATAAACACTCATAATGAGAGATGAAGGAAGGAAACCAGGGAGGCTTCCTGGAAAAGGAGGCACATGTCCCCATAAAAGAGAAGAAAACTAAGAGCATTATAGACCCTGTTAGAAAGCTTTATCTGTCGGGAAAAAGCCAATGCAGTCCTTACTTAACGCCATCCATATGTTCTTAGAGACTGCTTTAACTGAATCAACATTTAATGAAACCAGTTTTACCATAAGCTGATTGGTAGAAACAAAAGTTCCTATGTCATATGTCTGGTCACAAAAACATCTCCAAACTTCTAAATAAAAATAACTACTTCTAAGAGCAAACACTGAAATAAATGTGAGCTACACATACATTTGTGAAAGATTAACAAAAACATGATTTACCCAATTATTCCAGTTCAGGGTTGAGGGTGGTCAGAGTCTATGCTGGAAGCTCAGGGCACCAGGCAGTAACAGCCCTGGACTGCATTCCATTCTATCACAGGGTGCACTCACATGTCCACATATACTCACCCACATGGACTCAATTTAGACACACCAAAGAAACTAATGTACACAGCTTTGGGACATGACAGAAAACAAGTGTACCTGGATAAAACATACGTAGCCATGGGGAGAGCGTGCAAACTCCTCTCCGACAGCAGTCCTGGCAGAAATTCAATTTTATTTTTCCCATCATTGTAATGAAACAATGTTGAACTAAACAACGTTATTTGGAGACCTGCTGTACTAACAGTGGTGAGGCTGGCAAAAATGACAAATTGTGAAGTCGATTTTGTTTTGGTTATTTTTAGACCTATAAATATTACAAGAAAAAGAGAATGAAAATATGTGTGTGTGTGCATGTATTAGAAAGAAATTTTTAGTTACTCTCATCTATATTATTCAAAGATTAGCAATACATAAATGAAAGCTGATAAACTGACAAATGAAATTAAAAAATAATAATATAAGCACTTGGTTCTGGAGAAATGCACCTGAGAATGCAAGTTACATTTTGAATAAACTTGCCAAATTATTATTGCACATTTTTATGAAGTTAGGAAACATATGTCATGTTTTCCCAGTTTCACAAAAGGTTAAATATTGCAGCCTGCAAATTCTGGATTGGTTAACCATAGGAAAGATTCCAGAGTATACAGGAACAAATGTATTAGTTTGATCCAATGTTTTCTGAATGTCATGTTGTCAGAAAATAACTGAAAATAGCCTAATAAGAAGTATTTTGCTGTAGTCTTTTCTGCACTCAGCAATACTGTCAAAGTAATGGCAAAAGCAATGCCTTAGCAATCTCGGTTGGCAAAATACTGCCTAAAATCCCAAAATGTCAAAAGTTCACACAATCTCTCTCTGCAGTTTGGTATTTTTCTCTCATGAAACTCTAGAAATTGTACCATATTTAAGGCAAGTTACTGGAATGCATTTGTTTTGGGATGCTTTCATTTGGGGATGTATTCGTTTTGGAATGAATCCCAATGGGATATGCACTGGGATGCATAGCCCCAGTGCTTATTCATGTTTGGCACATAGTAGGACTTCTATAAATATCACTGGAGCCCAAATAAATTGCCCTGAGATTCACACATACATCTGCTGGACTCCAAAGCCAAAATGTTTCCACTAGCATATATAATGGCCAGGTCAACATTTTCTGTGAGATTAAAGATCAAAATGAGTGGTAAAGTAGGGAAAGGAAACCAAGGATTTCAGATGGAAATGTTTATCCTGGCCCTTCCTCTGAAGATGACCTCCTGTCCCCATTCCTACTATCTTATAACTTCTAGTTCCTTCTAGCTCAACTGACTGTGTGAATGGAAGAAAACTTAAAGATAAAAGTCATGCCTTTAGAGAAGACAGGGGGAAGCAAGACACAGTAGAGATATTCCCTGGTAGGCATGTGCAGGTATTAACAAAACTAAGATGATGAGGGGCCATATCTCTTCTATACCAGGGAAAACTAACACGCAGAATTTGCCAAATCTCTTCCCATTTAGAAGTATTGTTTGTTCGTTATGGTATGACACTACCTTTAAAACTACCTAGCATGATGGACTCTTACACATTTTGTCTAGCATCCCAGACTGTGTAGCCCTCATCTCTTGCATCATCTGGTAATAACCAAGTGATATAACTTGATATAACATGTTATATAAGGTTAATTAAATTCAGGCTCAAATATGCACACTGCACAAAACTGTGCAGTGTAAATCATGGGAAAATTGAAAATCATTACGTTAACTTGCCGAATCTAAATTCAAGCTTTATGAAGTGGCATCTTATTCTTAACTCATCAAACTTTTGAAAGGTTGGGGAAGTGAGCAATTTGACCATACATAGAAATGACCAGCAAGTGGAGCACAGGTGGGCTGGCTCAGCCACAGCATGGGCTCTGAGGGTCCCAGGGAGGGAGGACAGGGGACTGTAAAGCTGAACAAAGGAGCCTCCCAGCAAGCACAGAGGGTCTTCCACTTAGAATCAGAGAACATACAATGGTGGCTGTCCATGTTACAATGAAAATAGATGGCAGCCTGAAGAAAACAACTAAGGTGAGCAGCAGATGTGTCTAAAGATTACCCCCATATCTATGAGTTCTGAAAGACTCGTGAGGCACACATGTTGAGCCCAACTCCAGCTCAACGGAAAGCCAGGCAGCAGGAGGAGTTCCATGTTAGAGAAGTCATGCACTAACCCCACACAGTTTCCACTTCTTTGGCCACCCCAGGGGTATAAAAATAAGACTGAACTGTTAATACACCAAGAATTCCATCTTATAGAACTAACAACCTGGATAAAATAAATGTCAGAGTAATGTCTTAGTCAAGAACTTGTACCCTGGAGCTGGTTTATATGGTTTCAAAGCAAAACCTTGCCAAATACTAGCCATGTGAATGTGGCCAAATGGCCTAATTTCTCTGGTGTCTGAGTTTTCCTGTGTCTCTGTGTCTCAATTAAACTGTGTCTAATTTCTCAGTTTGTAGAATGGGAATAAGCATCTACTTCATATGCTTGCTGTAAAATACTTAGAACAGTACCTGACATGGAATAAATACTGAAAATAAATACTGAAATACTGAAAGATAAAACTACTGTTTTCCATTATTTTATAATAATTCTTTCTGGACACCTTGTGATAAGCACCTCAGAATGGATATGCCTGTTCTATAACTTAAATATGCCCCAAATATATAGAACAGAGAATTTTTTTCTAGAAAAGGAGCTAACTCCTTTGGGAACAGATGCAAAAGTGAGCTGACATCTTAGAAACAAGAGCAAGTAGCATTACTGTCTGCAAAATCAGTTACAGTTGTATAAAGGAAATGAAGGCAGTTCCTAATTGGTTACCATTTAAATAACTTTTCTTGGTAGAACAATTCAGAAAAACAAAGTTGTAAGACAGCTGAATATCAAGACACAATTGCCCTGAATGACAGAAAGCACCGACTCTTACTACATTAATGAGAGCTTTTTTCATAAGCATGTTTCCCTCAAAAAACAAAAGCACCAGCTTAAAGCCATTGCCAAGCACCCGCCTCTTTCATCAAAAACTAACAAGGAGGAGCTGACAGAGATAAAATACCGATAAAAATTGAGCCAACAATTAGTCACGGATGCCAATAACTGTTTAACTACAACCAGCAGGTCTCTGTGGGGTGGTCGGTTATCTTTGCTTTATTAAGACAGGAGATGGGAAAAGGGGCCAGAGTCCTTACAATGCGGTGCAGACATTCTGTTTAGTTTCACTTAAAGTTAGAAAGCATAAATAAGAACAAATGCTGAAGCATTATAAAAACAGAACAGAGAATGAATGTTCATGGACCAGTGAAGGTGAAGGCTATTAGTGTTGTCTCCTGTGAGTCCTAGAATGTTCCCTCTCCCGCAGAATCTAATTGCAAATGCATCATATAAGCCACTTATTTCTGCTTGTAGTTCAGAATCCAGAAATCTGAGGAGCACGCACCCCAGACTTTCTATAATGAGATGCAGAAAAGGTAAAAATGTGCTTAAGTAACTGCAATTTTGGTGGCTCACGGTACAACATCCTGAGCTGTCAATCAATGCTGTCCGCTCTGCTTCACTGACCTCTACTCGCGCAGAAGAAGTGGCAGCTGTCTTTTGCTCTCTCACTGCTCCACCTGCCTCTCTCCTGTCACAGGCAGTGATGGGTGTATGGAGGTCTGCAGTTCCTGCCACTCCTTCATTCCCCTAAGGCCACCCAGAAAGGAATCCCCTGGCAGTAGAAATCTGTCCGCCCACTCATCAGGAAGTCATTCCTTCCAACAATCCCCCAGTTTCCACACGTATTTTGTGCCCACTCTTTCATAAGCCCTGAAAATACAGAGTTTGTGATATTTCTTCCTGAATACAAATTAGTCATTCAATAAATGTAAAAGGTATTTAGAGAGGAAGAAAAGAGCAAGGGGGATACAAAGTTATAAATGATGTATTTATGTTTTAACTCTGACCACAGGACTGCCTCACACAGATGCAGTTTAAATATATTATGTAAATAAGGCAAATTTATTTAATGTTTTCTTCAGTATAATCACATTGGAAAATCTCTTGCAGGTAAGTTTATCTGCTACTACAGTTTCTTCTCCTCACAGGGTGAGAGAGCTGCCTTGGAGCCAGAGGTGGTCACCAAGCATTCCTCAATGGGTCCCTTTATCTAGAAGACCCCAGGGAGATTTACCTCAGGGATGCACTGCCTTGGAATCCCGCGTAAGCTACAGTAATAATGGAGATGTTCCCAACCAGTCAGAAGCTCGTCCAGGGCATCCTGCTGGGGACAGTAGCCAATGAGCACGCCTGCAGCACCAGCAGAAGACAGGTCCACAGCGTCCCTGCAGAGAGAAGCAGCACAGGCTGAGAACAGCAGCTTCCCAAACTGGCATCAACCCATTTTTAAAATGTGGCTCATCAATAACAAGTCCACTGCAGTTTATTCAAAACAATTAGTTCATTTCACAAGAATAAGTTCAATTCATGAGAAACGAAGGATACAAGAAGTCACCCCAAAATAGGCCTCTTTGGCATATGCATTATTTTGAGCTAAAGGCAATTGAAGACACAGGAAGACCAGAAAACACAGGAAAAGCTCTTTACCTCTCCTTAACTGCCTAAAAATTGAGTATAAATTGTCTTCTTTTGAAAAGGAAATTCACATTTACGAAGGAAATTTCCATTTGTAAAGATATCTCCGTACCAGAAAGAGAGCTACTTTCCCAGACAACTCTGAACCAGAGAGACTCTTATCTGTGTAATGAGACAACCCTAATCCAGCATACATTTCCTCCCCTCACCTTCCCATAGCTGGCCTCCCCTGACCGGGATCCCCAAATCCTTTTTGCTTTGTTTAACCTCATACGGTGTATAAGCCTCAATCATCTGGGAAGCTCCTTGAGTCTTATTTTTTGTGTGAAACTCCTGTGCATACATACATAATAAAACTGGGTTTTTTTATTAGTATGTATTGCTGAATCAGATGGAAAGACTATACTGAGTTTTATAAGATTCTGCCAAACTGTTTGCCAAAGTGGTTGTACCATTTTGAATTCTCATCAGCAGCAAATGAGGGTTCCTATTGCTCCACACCGTTGTCAACATTTAGTGTTGTCGGTGTTTTGTATTTTATTCATTCTATTAGGTATAGAAATGCATTGCATTGTGGCTGTAATTTGCCATTCTCCAATCACATATGATGTTGAGCATCTTATCATGAACTTATTTGCATCTGTCTTCTTTGGTGAGACAGCTGTTCACATCTTTTGCCCATGTTTTAGCTGTGTGTTTTCTTATGGTTTAATTTTCAGGATTTTGCATACAAGTTTATGTATACAAAACTTTATGTATTTTGTAGACAAGTTTTTTACGAGACATGGGTCTGCAAAATTTTTTTCCCAGTCTATGGATTGACCTTTTAATCTCTTAACAGTGTCTTTTGCAGAGCAGAAATATACTTTAATGAAGTCAAACTTACCAACATTTTCTTTTATGGATCATGCTTTTGATACTGTATCTAAAAAGACATTGTCACATCCAAAGTCACCTAGATTTTATCCTGTTATTTTCTAGAACTTTTATAATCTGCATTTTACAATCAGGTCATAGATCCACTTGGAGTTAATTTTTGTCACAGGTATAAGTTAAGTGCCAAGATTCATTGTCTGGCACGTGGATGTCCATTTGTTCTGGCACCATTTGTTGCAAAGATGACGATTTTCCCACATGATTGCCTTTGTTCTCTTCTCATATATTAGTTGACTGTATTGGTGTGGGGCTATCTCTTGAAGTTGCTGAGCCTTTACAGTAAGTCTTAAAGTCAGGTAATGTCAGTCTTCAGACTTTGTTCTTCTTCCATACTGGGCTGCCTGTCATGGATCTTTTGTCTTTCCACATGTACTTGAAAATCAGTTTGTTAATATCCACAAAGTAACACTGGGATGTTGACTGGGGTTGTGTTAAACCTAACATTCAAGTTGGGAACAACTAACATCTTGTTGATATTAAATCTTTCTACCCCAAAACATGGAATATCTATTTATTTGGAGCTTTTTTCCATTTATTTCATTAGGATTTTGTAGTTTTCCTCACGTAATTTGTTAGATTTATAGCTAAGTATTCCATTTTGGGGATTGTTAATGTAAATGATATGTTTTTAAAATTTCAAATTCCAATTATTCATTGTAGATATATAGGAAAACATATGACTTTTCTATATTAACGTTGTATCCTGAAACCTTGATATAAATGTTTATCAGTTCTAGGAGCATTTTTTTTGACAATTCTTTGGGAGTTTCTACATATATAATCATGTCATCTACAAGCAATAACAGTTTTATTTATTCCTTTCCAATCTGTGTGAGTTTAAGTCCCTTTTCTGCTCTTATTGCATTATGTAGGACTGCTTGCCGGCAGAGTATTGAGATAAGAATGGAGAGAGAGGACATCCTCGTCTTGTTCCCAAATTTAGGAGAAAGGTATCTAGCTTCTCATAATTTAGTACGATATTACTTGAAGGTTTATTGTCAGTGTTCTTTATCAAGTTAAGGAATTTCCTTTCTGTTCCTAGTTGGTTGAGAGTTAGTATCATGAATGAGTGTTTCTTTTGTGAAAAACTTTTTTATGCATCTGTTAATAGGATCAAACTATTTTTGCCTTTTATTCTATTGATGTAATGGATTATATTAATTGATTTTCAAAAATTGAATAAACCTTGCCTATCTGGAAAAATTCTTTCTTTGTCATAGTATATAATTCTTTTCATAGATTGTTAGATTCAATTTGATACTTTGTTGAGAATTTTTGCATGTATATTCATAAGAGACACTAAGCTATAGTTTTCCTTTCTTGTAATGTCCTTGTCTGGTTTCAGTATTTTGGTAATGCTGGCCTCATAAAAACAGTTAAACCATATTTGTTCTGTATCTATTTTCAAAGGATATTTTAGTAAATTGATATCATTTCTTTCTTAAATGGTAGAATTCACCAGTGAGAACACCTAAGTCTAGTGCTTTTGCTTTTATGGTCATTAGTTATTGATTCAATTTCTTTCATTGATATATACCTATTTGGATTGTCTATTTCTCATTGTATGTGTTTGGGTAAATTGTGTATTTAGGGAATTGGCCCATTTGAAGTACGTTATTCAAGATGTGGGCATAGAGTTGCTCAAAATATTTCCTTATTAATATTTTATTGTTCACGAGATTAGTAAGGATGACATCTTTGAGTTTCGATATTAGTAATTTGTATTTTCTTTTTTTCATCGGTAATCTCACTAGGAGTTTATCAATTTTATTTATTTCATCTTTTAGTTCATTGATTTCAACTTTTAGTTTCATTGATTTTTCTCTATTATTTTCCTTTTTACAATTGTATTGATTGCTCCACCAATTTGTATCATTTCTTTTCTTCTGCTTACTTTCAATTTAATTTGCTCCTCTTCCTCTAGTTTAGTAAGGTATAAGCTTAGATTATCTATTTTAGTCTCTCATCTTTTCTAATAGATGCATTAAATTCCATTAATTTTCCTTTAAGCACCACTTTAGCTGTATCCCACAAACTGTGATAGGTTTAAATTTCATTTTCACTTAAGTTTAATTTTTGTAATTTCCCTTCTGATTTCTCTGACCTATGTGTTACCCAGAAATATGTTGTTTAATCTCCAAATATTTGGGGATGTCTAAAGCTATCCTTCTATTTTTTATTTCTTGTTTAATTCCATTGTGGTTTGATGGCATAGTTTGGATGATGTCTGTTCCTTTACTGTTAAGCTGCATTTGGGATTTTAGTGTGAGGTTTGAGTTTATCTGACTAGAAGTTATGTTGTGCTTACTGGTGGCTGTCTCAGTGGTGTCAGTTCTAGTGTCCTTGGGTTTATATCCAATTGTCTTTGAGTTTGCCTAGAGATTCCATCTTAGAGTCTGAGGCTTGTAGATCTTATAGTCCTTGGTTATTACACAGGAGCTCCACCGAAGTGGTGGTGAGGAGCTGGTTGAGGGGAAGAGTTGTCTATTCTCACAATCATGTCTCAGTCTTCTAGTGCCTGAGCTGGGCATTCCCCTTTCCCCAGGTCAGTTAGGATCTGGAAAAACAGCTTCCCCTTAGGGCTGGTCTTTCTAAGCCTTACAGAGAGGTCTGGGCATATTTTCATATAATTACTTCCTGCTGAAAGCACAAAGGGATTTTTTCCCCAGTCTTTACACTGAGAATCTGGTAGGGTTCCTATAGGTAATACTCACCAGTGAGGAGCCCCCAAGGCTACTTTCAAGTTAGTCCACACTGAGCCTACATTGCTTTTTGATTACAGTTGATGTGTTCCTACTGATCCTGGCTCCATCTGGTGACTTCTGCTTCTAGGTCTCCTGATTCACAGTCCTGGGCTTCCTTCTATTATAGTATTTATAGTATTTTCAGTATCCATAGAGGATGGGTCTAGGACTCTCCTTGGACCCTAAAAATCCACGGATGCTCAAGTCCTTTATATAAAATAGTGTAGTATTTGCTTATAACCTACATACATCTTCCCAAATACTTTAAATAATTTCTTGATGACTTATAATACCCAATACATTGTAAATGCCATAAAAAGAGTGCTTATGCTGCATTTTTTAGGGAATATTAACAACAGAAAAAGTCTGTACATGTTCAGTACAGACAGAATCATCCCTTTTTTTCTGAATATTTTGCAGTGCAGTTAGTTGAATCCAAGGATATGAACCCATGGGTGTAGGGGATCCCCTGACTGTCTGTCCAGTATGGGGTAGCAGTTTGCTCTGTGACCTCAAGTCTCTGATGGCTCTAAGAAGAGTTGATAATTTTTAGCTTTTAAGGTATTTTCCTGTTGTGAAAATGAAAGTGACAACTTACAAGCTCTTTAAATATTGTACCAAAAACCACAACTCAGTACCTTTTTCAGTAGTTTTTGTTTCATTTTTTTTCATGTTCCATATCTCTGCCCCACAGGAAAAGCTATACATTTTAAATGAATCTCTCCATCCTGCACATTGTCTACCATTCTCTTACTCACCGAGTCAATGGCTTCTAATGTACACCATGAAACAATTTCTCAAGTTTATCACTGGCAGCACTAATTTAACATTCTGCACTTTTAATTCTATTGTATGTGATAAATATAAGAGAAAACAGAATTTAAGATCTACTAGGTGCTTAATTTCCTTTACATCAGTTTCTATTACATCCATATTCTCCTATCTTTCAAATTCAGCTAGTACATTTGTCAGGAGTTTCCACATTTGTGTCATAAAATTTTAACTTTTAAGTCTTCAGAGTATCAACTTTTAAAAAAGCATTCCCTTATATTTAAATAATAAGAATATCC